GGAGGAAGGGAGGTAGGGGAGGAAGGGAGGTAGGGGAGGAAGGGAGGAAGGGAGGAAGGGGTGGAAGGATGTTGAATTCTTGCTGGTTTAATTGAAAGGGGAAAGAGTGTGTTTAAAGAGGATTCTCAGAAGAAAAATCACTGAGGTAAAATACATTTTAGGTAGTTGATTGAAAAGATGAAACGTAAGGATTTCTTGGGTAACTGACCTGAGGTGACCCTGAGGCCAATGGCACCCCAGGGAGCCAGGCCCTCCTGGGATGCAAACCTAGGAAGGAGGGCTGGGCCGGGTCCATGCTTGTATGGCTGGAAGGGCCAAGCCCAAGCCAGCGCCTGGCTCCATGTGGCTCCTTTCTCTAAACTAACATACAGACTAAAATAAATAAGACGTTTTCTCCACGGGAAGAATGCATTGATGATGGCTACCACTTGTTGAACCTTAAATATATGCCAGGCACCATGATAAGTACATAGAAACCCTTTACATGCCCATTCTCCCCAGCTGTCACACAGCCCACGTGTAAAATACTATCGTTCCCACCATTTCATGGAGAAAGAACTGACACAAGAGTGCAGAGGCCACTCACTGGGTCGTTCACTGAAGCTTTGCCCTCAAGGCTTCTGTGATGCTCAGGCCCCTGTCAGGCTCTGGAAGGGGCCCAGCCATGCGTTCTCTTGGTCATGTGTTTGGAAGTTTTGCAAAATGGGTTACTAATATTTCACTTGTAATTGGTGAAGACAGGTTTCCTCTTGCCGATGTTCCCTCCAGCACATGCATGTTTCCTGTGTCAAGCATCAGTGATTTTCAGGGGAAAAAGTCACTGAGTTGGGGATACAATCAGTTTGAATGAGCGAGATCTATTCCGATGATTTGCTACCACTTCTGCGTTATCAAGTGCTCCTGTACAGGAATGGCTGCCAGGACCCAGGACTACTCTGTCTGTCCACTTCCTGACTCGCCCAGGGGGTGGTGACAGGGGCCTGTCTCTGCGTCTATGTAGAGGAACATGAACAGTAGAGGAACCCCAGACCTGTAGCACATGGAGTCCAAAGCTACTGTGGAGAATTCTCCCAATTATCTGACTTGTAAAACTGTTAGCAGAGTTGATTCTCATCAACAAAGGCCTCTCTTGTCAGGAATGTACTTAATGTGGCCTTTATGCTTATAAGCACATCATGGATTGTTTTTTTCTTCAATGGCAGTTTCAAGAAATACAATTCACTGCAGCTGTTGTATTTTTAGGGTGGAAATCGATAGTCATGTTCTATCTATGAGTGTGTCTACGTGTGAAGTGGCATATTCTACACATTCCAACTCTCCCTAGTGAAACATTTCTATCAACCTGGTTAGGGGAAAGGCTGAATTATCTTTTATAAAGTCCTAGCCAGAGGAAGAGTCCATCAGAGCCCCAAAATACCAGATAAAAGTGTTGCAGAAGTGTACCGTTGATAAAAACATGAAATTAGGTATCTGGATTGTTGAGCATTTTTCGGTACTTGTCAGCTCTTCAATATTTGTGATGTGCCATGGTCTTTACATTCCAGACATCACTTTTGTACCTAATTTTGTATTTGTAATTTTATATTCTTCTTTTCTTAAGGAAAATACTCCAGACTGTATAAGATGTAGGCCCACAAAACCTGAATCGATTCCTGGCAGAGTAATGAAGTAACAGCTGGAATCACAGCCACTAAATGGCCAAGCCAGGATTTGAAGCCGGAATTCAGGCATGGGCCTCAGAGGGCGTCCTGGACTCTAACATTCGTCCCTGGAGTCAGGGTCTTGTTGAGGTGCAGATTCTGACTCAGTAGACATGGGCTGGGGCCCAGGTGCCGTGAGGCTGCTGCTCTGTGGGCCGCACTCAGGAGCCAGGGTCTCTCAGCTGATGTGCTCTATGGCGGCTCTCGGGCAGTGCAATTAACCACTGCCACTCAGGGAGGTGGTGGGACTTGCCCAGATAGCAGAGTCACAGGCTGAACTCACAGCTCCTGCCCCCGCCTACCATGGTGGCAAGGGGGTTAAGTGTGGAGTCCCAGGAGTCAGCTCTGGGTCCCCAAGAGGAATGTCCCTTCCAGCCCCCTACACCTCAGGTGGAAGCTGTCCCTCCTGTTTCCTGGAATTGGCCTGAGACGCTGCAGTCAGTCTCGACCTGCAAGGGTAGCAGGAGAGCACTGGCGTTTCCAGTGTGACAGCCGTACCTGGCTGGACTCTACTTGTCTGGCTTTCTTGGTGACAGGCCACTCAGCCCCGATAAGCATCAGTTTCCCTGTGCATGAAATGAGCTGAATATGACCCACCTCATAGAGTTATTCTGGATTAAATGAGGCGTTACATGACTAGTTACACAATCTGACTCTGCGTGTGTTGGCCCACAGCACCGTGGAACTGATCATTGTTGTTCCTGGGCTAAACTGACCTTCGGAATCAAGTGACTACTTCTTGCAGCATGTACTCTCAGCTTCCTGTTTCTCAATGTGTGTGAAGAAGAGACGGTGTTAGAACAGAAGGCCATCTGCAAACATTCACACCCTGCAGAGGGCTGAGCAGAGGCTAAGCGCTTGATGGCAGCTAATTGTTCCCTGACAGATGTCAGCTTTGCCTGTCTGTCTCTCTTAGTGTGTTTGCAGCTGTGCAGCAGGCTGACAGCCTCTGCCATTCTCTTTCTGCCTGGGTCCTCCGAAATGCACCCCAAATCCTAGCCATGCTGCTTGATCACCACAGGCCTGCCTGGTGACAACAGGCTGTGGTGATTTTATTTGTCACCTTTAGAGCTTGTGTAGCAGCATTTCTTTCCTAGAGGCTCCAGATGTTCGTCCTGCAGACATCTCTTCCAGGAGAAAAGGGAATAGATGAGGGTAGGCTGTATTTCCTGGCTATCCCAATCCTCTGGTCATTAGCATCCCCCAGAAGGACATGCAGCATAATGGCTGCAGTCTCTATGTGGCGCTGCCCCGGGCTCTGTAGCCTGGAAGGTCCCACATCAGTTGCAGCCGGGTCTGGATTTGGGTTATTTTAAGCTGCCCCTGCAATGCAGCTGCAAATCCAGAAAAAGAGGAATGAGGGGTCTGCTCATCACGGAAGAGCTCACTAAGAACACGTTGTCACTGGCGTAGAGAGCAGGAGACAGTATAATTACAGTCATTCCAAGAGGTTCAGCATCACCCCTTTCAGGAGCACCCCTCCCATTTCTTTGGTGCCAATACCTTTTTTTTAAAAACCCTCCCGGGGAAATTTCGAAATACCATTGGTAAAAGCAAACTGCTTCACTTAGCTCCTTAGTTATTTGTTTAGGATTTAATATATCTCCTTAGATTTTTTTGGGAAGGAATTGAAGACTCTTACACTGCCCTTTGGGGGAAGGGAGTGTCCAAGAAGAGGGGAGGAGCTTTCACCTTCAACCCAGTGACCTCAACTGCATTCCACATGAAGCATGAGCTTTAGGACAACATGAGCACAGACTGAACCCTGAGAATGCAGTTTGCCCACTCATCTATTTATTTATTTGGTGTCTGAATCAACAGGCTCTGGTCAGGAAGAGGAAGAGGGGAAGCTATGAAACTCATGTCCTTGGAAAGCTGTGTTTAGTGGACACCTATTGGTCCTGAATGGCAGGCAGAATCCCGGGTTCACAAGGGTAAATTCTCTAACTCTGAAGTTCCTTCTATGTCATTTCCATCTGTCTTAGCTTTTCAGATTCCTCAGTATTTTTTCTGCTTCATTCATGTATGTATTCATTCATCCATTCAGTGAGCATTCATTAAATGTCAACTTCGTGCCAGGACTGCACTGGACATGGGGGCCACTGTCTCCACCCTTTCAGCTTACAATGCAGTGAGGGGCAGAAGAGCAGGGGTGAGTGGGCACACAGCAAGGTCAGTGCCGCTCTGGGGGAAAGCCCGCATGTCTGGGGCATGTGGAGCTGCAGAGCATCACCTACTGGGTCTAGGTGCTGGAGAGGCGTCTTGGAGTGGTCCTAGGGAAACAAGGTGGCAATGATTAGGGAGGAACTTAGTGAAAGAACGAGATGTTTAGAGGGAAATTTTGAAAATGTGGCCAAAGAGTGTACATGTAAACCCTCTCTCCAGCCCCCACAGCCTTTAGTAAGAGATCAGTTTTCTGAGAACACACTGTGGGCTCGGAGCTCTGTGGAGGACGTGCCAGCCATGGCTCAGGTGCTGCTGAGGCTGCTGCCCCCACGTGACATGGAGAAGGCTGTTTGCAGAACAGCCACAGGCAGCAACACAAAGAACAAGCATGAATGGGAAACACAGGTCCCAGGAGCTCTGCCTCCCTCTCATGTGTCTGTTCACTTCTCAATAATCACTGAATACCTGCCGCATGCACTGTCCTCGGGACTGGGAAAACAGCCACATCTTAGCCCTTTTGGACCTTTACAGAATGATCAACAAATAGATGAATCTGTGGCATGTCATACCATGATGGAGGAAGACAGCTAGGGAGAAAGACAAGGGAAGGAAATGAGACAGAGCATGCAGGGCTGGGGTGAGGGTGGGAGGTGCCACACTGACAGGTGACATTCAAACACACCCTTGAGGGAGTCGCCATGTGGGTACCTGAAGTAAGGGTGGTCCAGGCAGAGGAAACATAAGTGCAAAAGCCCCGAGGCAGCAGCAGGCTTGCTGTGTTCAGGGAAAGACAAGGGGGCGTGGGAGGGAGCGGGTGGGGAGGAGAGGGAGCTGGGGACAGTGCATGG